AATGTTTTAAATGTTTGATCAAATAATAAGCTGAATTAAGTTTGCTGCACACTTTTTGTATGTGATTACCCAGGTGAAATTTGTGAAGGAGTTGCTAATTTGTATTGACAAAATTCTCATCTAAAATAGTTCCAAGAAAATTTACTTCTTTTGGTATTTCTGTGTCATTCAGAGTTAATAAATTACAACAGAAATCCCTCCTAACAAATGTTATCATCAATACTGACTTAGATTTACTTAAAATCAATTTGTTACGTCGACACCAGCTACTAAATTTGTCAATAACTAAATTTGTGACAATCTGATATGAATTCAGGCAAGTCATTGATAAAAAAATTAAAAATAACAATGGACCAGAACAGATCCTTGTTGAACACCTAGTTTCACATCATAAGGAACTGATATAATTCCATTACATTCAACCACGAAACTACGGTTCTCTATACACGATTCTATCCAACACGAATTGAAAATCTGAGTGAACCTTTGATTGGAGTAATAGTGGAAACATGAAAAATGAGGCATGTGCTGAAAGTGATTCTAGTTCGGACGATTCTTCAGATACAGATTCTTCAGGAGATGAAGGAGATTTTCCTCAAAATCGACAAAAACGTGCTATTGAATGGTAAGTAAAATTTGAACCTTTTGAAATTATTTAACAGAAAATTTGTGCTTAGAAAAGTTGCTTCTTAAATCATATCTGTTAAATATTTACTATCATTAGAAGATAAACGTAGCTGACCTGAATATAGTTGAAAGAAAGGAATTCGCAGTTTTGGTGTTGGGAAACATTAATCATAGTCAAGCAGCTACGATTAAAAATTGTAGTTTTGAAATTCTATCTATTTTTAAACTACTCAAACAAGTGGAGAGTAGCTGACCTGAATATAGTTGAAAGAAAGGAATTCGCAGTTCTGGTGTTGGGAAACATTAATCATAGTCAAGCAGCTACGATTGAAAATTGTAGTTTTGAAATTCTATCTATTTTTAAACTACTCAAACAAGTGGAGTCCATTAGTCGAGAAATAGTTCCGAATATTTATCGATTTCAAAGTAAATATTTATAGAAACGTGTACAAACTCAAGTTGCGAAAAAACCAATGTGAGCATTACGATAGTTTGGTGTTACTCAACAGGAAGGTGTTTTTATTAGAATTGTTATATAGCATGAATGTTAAGTGGCTTTAAATCATCCAATTGAAAATGACATTATTATGATCTGCAGCAGAGGGTGATGCAAGAATGAATCATGATATGTTATAAAGATGGTTGGAGAACTTTATTATTCATTCCATTAGTTCGGACTTCCATTTTCTAATTTTATATAAATTGATTTAAAATTCCTGAAAGAAAGTCCGAACTGTTGAAGTGCACCACGAAATATTGTCAACCACCTTCAAACAAACTTTATTATTATTTTTCAATGTGATACAAAAGACACAGTGAGGCAAAAATCGAAAGATTTATCGTTGGAGGAAAGTCTGTATACATAGAGACTCAAGAACTTATCTACAAATGAAAAACATTGGCATTAGGTCTACTATGAACTGTAATATCTCAATGTCTGCTCATTCTGTGCGATCGAAGTAAGCGCAATTTGGATTAGTGTACTTTTGCCAACGTAACACAAGTTGATTATTTCCGCCAGCATAGAAAATTGGGCAGTTTTTGCTTGGCGAAGTTTCTACCGGCCAGAAAGTGTGTGAAAAGATGGTAGTCGGTTGTCGAGAGGTCTGGGGCGTTTGGTGGCTGATGCAATTTTCGGTACATTTCGTCGATTTTCTCACAATAGGACTCTGCTATGATAGTTTGGCCCAGTTGCAGAAAGTTCTAGTGAATTACACCAGCCGCTGACCACCATACAGTAACCATGGTCTTTTTTGGTGAGTTATCGCCTTTGGGAAGTGCCTGGGTGGCTCATTGGTGTCCAAACTCTGTCCTGAACGACTTTTGATCACATGTGACGATTTGCATAAAAAAAGGATCGTTTTGGCTGCGCAAAAGCAAAAAAGAACAGACCTTAAAATGTGACAGTTTCTGCCGATCGTTCTAATCATGGAGCGTCTACTTTTCGAGCTTTTTGATCTTTCCAATACGTTTTGAACCATCAATCGCATGGAAGCTGACGCTCAATTCGTTCGCCATCCCACGTTATGGGACAGTCTCTACTAAAGACCTCAAATCCTCGTCCTAGATCACTGTAGGTCGACCCATTGGTGCTCATCTTCGAGGGGTGAGACCAGAAATTAATTCCATTGCCGCGGTTGGTGTTGTTCTCATGACTCCTGTGACGTTTAAACAAGCCAATCGCTGTAGTTGATATACTTTTTGGATGGTCGTTGCTTGTAGAACTTTAGGTTCCCATGCAATGGCTCCATACGTTAACATAGGTCTTATTATTGCAGTCAAGTGACCACACTGAGTGAAAGACCCCATGCGCATTTCACTGTCCTCCGACATTCGAGGCTAAAATCTGCAGAACGAAATTTCGCAAACCACGGTCGAAGCGCTATTGCCAAATTCCTCTGGGTAATTTTCGGCAGAGCTTTGCTTCAGTTTGAATTGGTAGAGAAAAATTGGCCAAAATTCGTGTAACGACATCATATAGTAATAAGCTGAATAGAGGCAAAAATTGAAATTTGGAAAGAAATGAACGGCATAAATGTATAGAGTACAAAAGTATAATGAATATTAATCGAGATACGTAGCTATAAAAACGCATGACACCAAAACAACGTAATATTCCATTCAACTCTTGAGTCTCTGATTTTCTTCAGATGGTAATGAGCGTGTCTTTGTTTCTGTTGGTTGAATTCAATTCCCTACCTAGTTTTAACAGTATACACAAAACTTCCTGACCAAACTCTGCCTACACAGTTTTTTTTTAAATACTCATCAACAAAAACATAAATCTCAACGTATCACGTGATAAGAATGCCTCAAAAACTCTAGTCTCTCCCACAGAACTTCACACAGGCCAACATAGAACTCGAAAACTCAGAGAGATTCTCATCTGTCAAAAAGTCAAGTGCGTCTCACAACGTGAAACCACAGCGAACGTAATATTGAAGTAACAACTTTACATGGGAGTTAAGAGAAACAAACTGACCATACTGACGTGAATTTTTACGTATTAGCACATACATTATTTATGTAAATATGGGGTAAAATTATCTTAGAAATGTATTGGAATATTTACGTAAATGTTTTACATAAACATGTCCCGTTGATTTTATGTCACATTTATGTAAATGTAACAAGAGTGTTTGCTGGGAATTTTCGTTATATCTCTACCGCATTCCACGGGCTCAGGCTCTACTCTGTTCCATCACGTATGGACTTTTTACCGAGGGTTACTCGAAAAACTGAATGAAAATCTATTATTATTACTGAAAATTCATTGTTTTCTGTAGGATGGGATAGTCTGAAGAAAACACAAATGTAATCGTGGAATCCTGTCACCAGAAACATGTCAATATGTGGTATTGAACATGCGGTGATTATTCACACAAAGTTTTGTAGGAAAGTAATACGGCACGTTTTGAAAATGTGGCACCAGAAATACAACGTTTCGAAAGTATTTCTAGATACACATCATTTTACTGCTTTTTCGAACTATCTTAGGCAAGTTGCGTATCAGCAACAAAATGATTTTTTCTTAATATAACAACAATCCGATTTCTCTGACATTGAAATGGTCTTTTCTCCCTATTGAACAAATTGTTGGAATCTGCTGACGTCAACCGGTCTTCATTTCAGGTGTGGAGTTGACACAGAAAATAACGATTATTACAGACCACCGCAACTTTTACCCGAACCACGACCGCCGTCTCGAAGAAAAGTAGTATTATGGCCACCGCCATCTACCTCATCCTCAGCAAGTCACAATCATTTCGGAAATGCAAGAGAGGGAAATCCTAAATTGGGCGCAAAAATGCAATTGTTTTCCAAAACTGGCTATCATTTAGCTGTATATCCAGATGGGAAAGTAAGGGGGACCCTCGACGAAAATGATATCCACAGTAAGTTGGTGAATGAATACTAGATGTCACTGGTTACCACATGGAGGCTAGAAAGTAAAAATTCGAATTGTTCTAGCAGTGACTGCGTAGGGAACGTAGCGGAAATTATCAAGCTACTAGTATATGTAATGACATTGAGAGGGGTACTCGTGACTAACCATGCATGAACCACTGAGCCATCCCTTTTTTGGCTAGAACATACTTTACATTTGAACAGTTTCCGTGAGGAGGTATCCAAGTGTAAACATTTCCAACGCCTTTGTAAAAGTAATTTCACAATGTGCACCTTATGAGTTGAACGATAAACCCGAGACTTCAACAATGAAGAGATTTCGGTGTCAATGCTTTCACGATATCCAAAAAGCATTCGTCAATGCAATATGGCACAGAATCGAGCATATTTTGCTGGATCTATGTCAAGCTCGTACGTAGCAATTACTCTTCAAGAAAAGCTTTTTGGATTCATGGTCACCCGGTATAATCTGCTGGATGATTTTGATATCCTCGACAGAAGAGAAATAGAACTACAAGCTCATGTAGATAATCATGCCACATTCTGGCAAATACCACTTTCGGAAGGCAAGCATGTGATTCATAAAAAACGCTGGAAGATGTTCATAGTTGATGCCACAGGGGTTATATATCTCTAAAACACAGTGACACTGTTTTACTTCCCTCTACCCGGAAGAGGAATCTGAATGATTCAACTCCATTGAATATTCAGGTTATTCCATTTGCAGCGGTGGTGAAACATCTATGCATTATCCTTGATGCAAAACTTATCTGCAACTCTCACTTGGAAAAGGTTTTGCATGAGCCAGACTTGACACCGTCAGCCAATATTCTGCTCTGTCGAAAACGCACGAGAAACGATAGAAAAACGCACGGAAAACGATCGAAACCGCACGGACAACGATGTACTTCATTGCTTTTCGGCATAGTTCATCTACTACCGCGTGACCTTGAAATGGACAAAAATCTCCCAAATGAACCTTCATAAGAAATAACACGCGATTTTGAGCCAGATGCCTTGCTGTTCGTATAACGCTTTCGCGTAACCTTTTTTCCCGTAACGCTTTTCGTGTGGCGCGTTCGTGGCGCGGTTACGCTCGAAAACGCACGGAAAACGGTCGAAAACGCACGGAAAACGATCGAAAACGCACGGAAAACGACCGAAAACGCATAGAAAACGATCGGAAACGCACGGAAAACGATCGAAAATGCACGGAAAACGATCGAAAACGCATGGAAAACGATCGAAAATGCACGGAAGACGATCGAAAACGCACGGAAAACGACGTACTTCATTGCTTTTCGGCATTATTCATCTACGAACGCGTGACCTTGAAATGGACAAACATCTCCCAAATGAACCTTCATAAGAATTTAAACGCGATTTTGAGCCAGAAGCCCTGCTGTTCGTATAACGCTTTCGCGTAACGTTTTTTCGCGTAACGCTTTTCGTGTGGCGCTTTCGTGGCGCAGTTGGTTAAGTATGTGACGGTTCCGCTCGAAAACGCACGAAAAACGGTCGAAAACGCACGGAAAACGATCGAAAACGCATGGAAAAAGATCGAAAACGCACGAAAAACGATCGAAAACGCACGAAAAACGGTCGAAAACGCACGGAAAACGATCGAAAACGCACGGAAAACGACGTACTTCATTGCTTTTCGGCATTATTCATCTATTACCGCGTGACCTTGAAATGGACAAAAATCTCCCAAATGAACCTTCATAAGAAATAAAACGCGATTTTGAGCCAGAAGCCCTGCTGTATAATTACTTAGGGAATCTTAGGGAGCCTTCTGGTCCGCTCTTGTGCCATCGTGGTGACTTAGCTAGCATACAGGAAGTTTCTTATTCAAGTCATATCTTTGGTTTGAAATTGCGTTTTGCTTCGTGAAACTGCAAAGGCGCAAAGATTTTCGGGTCAGCAGATGCTGTGACCCCCCTAGGTACTGGAGGACCTTGTGATTTCAGAACTCTGCGGCAAACTAGCACTCATCGGCTCTGGTCTAGCAACGGCAAGCAGCGTTCAGGCAGAAGGTCTAAAGCTTGTCGCCACTTGTCCGGCACAGCACAGCACGGCCCGTCCCGTCAAAATACGGATAGGATTGGAACATTGAAAATGAATGGATAACTGGCCACTAGCCCGGCACAGCACAGCCAAGAGCGTCCCCCGCCGGAAAGGATTCCAGCTCTCCGATCCTGACCGGAAAATAACGGTACGTGCTGTGATGGACTGGCCAAGTGAGCACGTCGCCGGCCAGCGGTTGTCATCAACTTATCTAAACGTGCCTGGAAAGTTTCTGTCTCTCTGTTTTGCTATTCCATCAGTTGACAGCACACTGTCAGACGGTACCTCGTCTTCTTTCAGTTCGTTGAGAAGATGATGAAACCCTCCCAGATTTACCCTCTTTTGATTAATGGGATGGACCACATCCTCTTTTTTTTATGACCATTTTCTTCTTCTCTTCATTCAATAAAGATCTCTTCTTCGTCAGAACTGCTAGTGATAGACAGGTTTCTGTCACCGCTCGATGTCAACTGAAATTTCCTTGAAATCGAACTAACAGCACCTTCAGTATGCTGGTTGTAGCTGGACAAGTGGGCGATAGATACGACTGGGCGATGCTACAGACCATCGAGCGACGGACAGCGCTGTGCTGTGCCGGACAAGTGGGCGCAAAGCCGGGTACTTCGTCAACGTTCCGTCTCAGGCGCTGTCTTGGCGACAGTCAAATACGAGCATCATAGCTAATGTGGTTGAAACAACGGCAACAACAACTCGAGCACCAGTTTGGGCACTGCGACTATGAAATTATGAAATCACTGCCCTGTAAAATTGTCCGACGCTAGAAAATAAACTATTTTATTTGTTATAGGAGTAATTACTCAATACAGAGACGCGAATTCAATGATTTGGTAGTATCAATCTTAAATGAGTAAGTAGACGTTGGTAATAATATGCCAGCCAAGGTTGTTATCAGAATATTTTCTAGTCTCGAGGAGGTGTTGATATTCATGAAAATAAATAAAACATGAGGAATTCATCTTCACATTTTTATCGAGGGTTCAAGTTCTTTCTCATATATTTGAGAGCTATTTCATCACAGTTTACACTGTTTTCATTAAAATCACCCAAAATTGGAAAATTCTTGTCATTAATTGACTCTTTTTTTGTTTTATACCTTCAATGAGGGTTGAACTCGTCTTGAAATATTATTCAACGTACCGTCGATATCGCTGTGAAATTTCCTCTGTATTGATATATGGTAATGGAGCAAACACTAACAAAGAAATTAGAGATATTTGTTGTGGTTGTGACTTTCACCTGAAGAGGGCTGAAACCAAAATTTTGACTTTTATACTCCACATGTTTTATTTGCCCAATCGGTAAAGAGGTTACCAACGCAGTTTCTTCATTTACTCATTTATAGCAGGGGAGCCCACGATGCAAAATGGGGATTTACTCGATCGTCATAGNGCACCAGAACTTAAAAGTGTTTTTGAGTCACCTGTGAACCAACAACTATCTGCTATTAATATTTCCTTCTCCCGGAGGATCCAAGATACTCACTAGTTGTTGAAGTTCATTAAAATTATGAATGATATTTCAACTGAATACCTCTTGTTATCAAGAAACTTTTCTGAGTATTTTTTCCGAAAATGTGAAAAACCAAAACGTGTTTCAATATTGTTCGTTTCATTTATTTTTCAGCATATCTAGAAATAGTGTCTGCAGGATATCCAGGACACATAAAGATACGAGGATTATTGACAAATCTGTATATAGCAATGAATAGAAAGGGACGGATATATGGCGATGTGAGTAAACATTAAACCACGTATTTCGTAAAAAATACCGATCTTGATTTAGAAAAATAACAAACAATTCTTCATTGCGAGTTCTATAATGACTCAGGAGATCATATTTCATCATTATATGCGAGAGTGAATTTTATTTTCCAGGCTGACCCGATGGAAGAATCAACAGTGTTTTTAGAATCGTTCCGAGGATTATATAATGTGTACTTATCCAGAAAATATGCTCACGTGGGGTGGTATATTGCATTGAAAAAGAATGGTAGGCCTAAAAGAGGACCTAAGACTGGCGTACGTCAGAAAGCAGTGCAATTTCTGCCAAGAAGATCAAAGTTTGAGTAGACAAATGAAATTTCTCTGTATGAATTTGCATTTATTAGTCCTAATGTACCTCTCTAAACACAGGAACATTGAAACCATTTCCAGCAGATGTAATGCCACAAATCATATTTATTTTTTCACCAAATACTAGTGGAATTTCACCAGAGCAGAAGTTCCTGAGAGCAATCCTCATCATGTCACCTTGATGTAGCATCGAGGAAAAGTGGACTGTATTAGTTGCATTATTGCTCAGCCACTTTTTTAGGAACGAGGAAATCATGACAATTTCTATGTCATGTGACAAACATTTGGGTATTACTATTTTATTGCTATCTAAATATGGTGAATCGATTTCATTGAAAAGATATCAATTCAATACAATAATAGTCAACGTCTTTCTTCATGTTGCATTTTTCAAGTGATATGCAATTCTTGTAGTACTCGACAGTCTATGTATTATTCTGTTTTATAATTATAACCAACAGTATTATAAATAAATAATCCAATATGAACATTGTTTTTTTTTCAAAGACCAAAAATGTATAATATTTGTGACTACCGTTGAAATACCGTAGTTTGCCTGTCAAATTCAAATCATTATGACCACAGACTTTCCAATGGGTTGTTCTTTGATTCTCTACGCTCGCTAGACAAAACATTTTCTTTTAGTGAATTGATCGAATACGTTTATTTTCTCCTAATGTTGGTAAGTTAGTATTACATGTGTTTCATGTAGTACCTCTTCAGGGGCTATGTTAGTAATAAAACATATTATTTGTTTTTTATCGACCTTTTTTTTTGGGTAATTGTTACCTTTCACAATCTGAAAAAATATAAAAATTATAATGGAGAACTTTATACAAGTGTAGAAGATTAGTAATAAAACATTATATTATTTGTGTTTATGTGTAGCTTAATCTAGTGCTTTTGTTCTGTTTTGGTCGGGTTAGGTTAGGTTAGGTTAGGTCCAAAGTGAATGGGTCTATTCGACCCTCTACCGAAATCCGCAAGGGTTTATTGTGGCTCACATCTGTTCACACTCTACCAAATAAACCCAGCTTCTTAACGAAGCCGATTAGTTTGTATGGTGAGTGGTCTTTCAGGTCAGATGATAAAAAGTACGGTTCTGCCGAACTCTAAAAACCTTATTCGGTTCCCAGCGGGGCAGGCACAAAGTATATGCTCTGCTATTTCATCGTTAATGAAGTAGTCGGATAGTCAAGGTGCAAAATTACCACCTTAATACCCGCGACAACCTTCCCATATGCGGGTTTTTGCACGTCAGCCTTAGATTCAACCATGCAGGGCTGTTCATGGCCCCTGTTCATGGGGGCTTTGTTCCTTCACTTGAGACAGGTTCTGCGTACGCCGCTCAAGAATTTGGTGCAAGGCGGTTCCATAAGGTACTCCGCTCTTTAGGAGACGACTCAGTCGTTCCTTGGCTGCACCACCAAACCTTTTCTTAACGTTCAGTTATTGGATCAAGAGTTGGAGAGCTGAGAAGCTCTCGATCCTGATCTAAATTCACATGGAGTTCAGTTGGAGTCCTAACCTCAACATCCATCTCCTCTGTAGACTCAGCGTCAGAATTTTTTTTTAAGTTCACTCTGTCCATAAAAGTCCTACGAGTAGCTAGGGAAAGAAGGTCATTCCCGTATCCAGCTGGGCTACGTGGAAACAGGCATCCAATGACCGGTTTGCTCAACCTCCACATTCCAAGTCAATGCACTCGTCAAAAACAGCATGTACAGTGGTCCAGGCAGTGAAAGATAAACAAGGACAGCAAACTCGGTTAGTTGGTCTTCTCTGGTTCCTTGGGTATTGCTATTTTTGTTTGGGTTGGGTTAGCCTTAATGAGGTTGTCCTGGTATAGTTGCAGCTGGTTGCAGATTAACTTGCACTCATCATACTCTGGCCCAAAACTAATAAACCTTCAGACATTAGAGCAGTGGTCGCCAACCTCTTCAATGTGTTAAGCTACTTTGTTAATTTTGGAATAAACAGCGAGCTACCCACACGGAAGCCACGTAACGCAACGTAAATGAAATAATCCACAGTTAATTTACTATTATATGTATTTATTTCACTATTTAACTGGTAATACATAAGTACTAATAATGAACTAATAACAAAATAACTAATATAACTAGTACGTACTTGTTCATAGCTACATTCCTACCTATCAAACGAAGGTGTTTGAAAAATAAACACAAACTTTTATCCAGCCACGACGGCATGTCACGTATGATTTAAAAATAGTTAATAATAACAATAAAAAAGTAACGCACTATCTTGAAAATAAACATTGAAAAATAAAAACGCACGTTCAATGAAAAGGCTGACACTCATACTCCTCGATAATTTTTTTAATGTTTGCAGTATAATTTGATGCAGCCATTCGAATACAATTATCCAAATGTTCATCTGTAAGATAAAATCGTTGTGAGAGCTACCAGAATTTCCTCCGCGAGCTACCGGTAGCTCGCGATCGACAGGTTGGCGACCACTGCATTAGAGCAATGTTCAATAAATACAAATTCAAGTCAAAACTGAAAGAATATGTGAATCAAAACTATGACATATTGAAATCTGTCTATGAACTGGATTCCTAATCGAAGTTCTCTCCAGGCTATGGATATAAACTACATACCTACTGTTGTGGTATTATCTTGAATGAGTTGAACAATCCAACGTCACTTTCTCTTCGACTATTACTCTCTCTTTCCACCAGTTTTCCTTCCTTCCAACTGTTTGTATTTACATTGTCAGTATGCGTGTTTGATTCATTATGCAACAATGATACCTCATATTATAACACGACATGCATGTGTATATACGTACGTATATGTGTATATATGTATATAATCAACGTTTAAGTTGTCTATAGGTTGACACTACAACTCAAGCTCTGCCTAGGTAGTTCAGACTTCAAATTTGCTTACTTATCATTCAATGTTATATCATTATCAAAATATGTAATTACCTGAATAAATTTATCTATCTATCTAATCCAGATACATATTCTTGTCTATGATATATGTTAGCATATCTTTAATACGCCTAAGCAAAGCTTGTGTTGCGTATTTTCCCGAGATCTGGACACAACCATGAATGTAAGTGAGAAAAAAACTATTCATTCCTTTCAGTAAGAAATGGAAATTTATGTAAAAAAATAATAGAAAGCAATGATCAACCCGCAGAAGAATTGGACCAGACAATCTGGCTAAGAGGAGACATGTCTAAGTGAGATAAAACATCTTTCAAGCAAATTTCAGTGAGTTGATTCAAATATTTCTTTCGAGAGATCAAAGTTGTGATCAACGAAGGATCTAATTGTTTTCTTGCGTTCATTAACATTTTTTATATTTCTTAGTTCAATGGGAATTTGACTGACAAGTTTCGGTCCAAAGTAAGTAACAAACCTTTGGGTATATAGATTTTTATAAATATCCTGGTACTTCCAGTTTCTATTCTGGTCTGAGCCAGTTACTGTTTCTTACGTGTAGAATGAAGAGAATCCCCACATTCCATTAATTTTTCTAGTCAACTGTTATCTGTCTTATCTGCCCGATAAAGTTACAATAGTATTAGATACTCCGCAGTGGTTCCCGTTATCAATAATTTAAACAATATTTCCAGTAAAAGGTAAGATGACAATAAAAATTTCCGGTTTTACAGCTTTCGTGAATACGGACTAGTACCACGATAAACCCAACACTCATTATGTGCGATATCCTCGACGAATAGGTGCGTGATTTCCAAATATTTGTTATCGACACATATTTGAGGCGTTACTATCGCGGAAAATTCGTGGGCCATTCTACAATCGAAATATCCATTGAAATATTTATCCAAACGTTTGAACGGATATGAAACAACGAGTCGATATCTAGATTCAGATATTTTTAGAGTTGGGTCAACTTCAAACGTCGAAGCGGCGCTAACTAATTCGTTCAAATGAAGTGTTTCTTTTAAAACGTGAGTACTTTGCTTATTTCTAACATGTGAATGGATAGGTGATAATCTTATCAATTTATTTTGTTGCCCTGTTCAATACATTATCGTTTTATATCGATTTATATCAGGCTTGAGTTGTGCACAGTTAAAACCTTGCGCTCGATTGACCTAAAACTGTAGAACTGAAGTGAAAATTAACAAAGTCTATGATGAAATTATTCAATTTCTTTTGAAAGTATAGGGCATCATTGATTGTTGGTAATTTTTTCAAAATGTGAACTTTCTGTGAGTGAAAATGTATTTTACTACGTTGTACAGGGTGTGCCATATTGGACACTTTCAAAGGGAAACTCTTGTTTTCAAACTAGATAGATACAAACTAATGGCTGTGTCTTAGGGTCAAATGTTATAACAAACTCAATCATAAAAACCACATATCTATCATCGTTTCTGAGTTACAGCATGTTTTTCGAGAATGTGCATTTTCAAAAAGTTGCTGTAACTTTTTTCCTGTCAAAAATTTCTTGTTTCTATAAAAACATTACCAGAGCATTGACTCATGTAGAATTCAATGGTGTGAAAAATGATTTTTTCGAATGAGATATCAATAGTTATTGATGGAAAACTACATATTTCAATAGAGCTTAAGATTACCTTTCCAAAAATGTAGCACACTTGAGGTTTTGCTAAAGCGTTTCTTGAAGAAAATCGAATACTTCCATAAGAAGTGAGACAAATTCGGATTTTTCAGGACTGAAATTTTTTCAGAAAAAAAGCGTATTCGTAGTAAGTTGGTAGTCCTGATCACGAATCTGAAGGAATTTTGAGCCTATTTTCCCCCCTAATATGTTTTACCGTAGAAATGGGGTGTTCCATCGCGAGTGGCGGACATTGTATATCACTTTGGCCAACCCCATTCAGGTGGTAGGTGCATTTTGAGCATTTCCATCAGTCCTGAGAGTTTCATCGTTCCACCTCGAATATTACGGAAGATACGGGGGTGTTTCCATAAGAAGTGAGACAAATTCGGATTTTTCAGGACTGAAATTTTTCCAGGAAAAACGTGTATTCGTAGTAAGTTGGTAGTCCTGATCACGAATCTGAAGGAATTTTGAGCCTATTTTACCCCCTAATATGTTTTACCGTAGAAATGGGCTGTTCCATCGCGAGTGGCGGACAGTGTATATCACTTTGGTTAACCCCATTCAGGTGGTAGGTGCATTTTGAGCATTTCCATCAGTCCTGAGAGTTTCATCGTTCAACCTCGAATATTACGGAAGATACGGGGGTGTTTCCATGAGAAGTGAGACAAATTCGAATTTTTCAGGACTGAAATTTTTACAGAAAAAAAGCGTAATCGTAGTAAGTTGGTAGTCCTGATCACGAATCTGAGGTAATTTTGAGCCTATTTTGCCCCCTAATATGTTTTACCGTAAAAATGGGGTGTTCCATCGCGAGTGGCGGACAGTGTATATCACTTTGGCCAACTCCATTCAGGTGATATGTGTATTTGGGCATTTCCATCAGTTCTGAGAGTTTCATCGTTCTACCTCGAATATTACGGAAGATACGGGGGTGTTTCCATGAGAAGTGAGACTCGCTGTATAACATTCTCAAAAAACAAACAACTTTGTCCACCACAATCACACAAACCTTGATGATTGAACTAAAGAAAATTCAGCAGGTTATCTTCAGTCACTGTTTCCATTTCTTCAAGTAAGAGAACAAATAGTTGACCAATTACTTTTTCAGAACATGAGTAATGATAAACGGCAGTATGGTTATCGAATGCAATTGTTTTGCATGACTGGGTATAATTTGACTCTCAGATCTACAGGAGAAGTTTTGGGCACAGAAGATGATGCTGATATTGATAGTGAGTAAATGTATTTACAGAAAAATCCATACTAGGAAAGTCAAAATCTCTAACATCAAATGAAACTCAATACTGAACAAATTATTGCCGTTTCCAGGTCATGTAGAAATTTCCTCAGGTGGAGATATAAGTCATGTGAGGATTTTCGGTCTGAACAGTAAACTTTACTTGTGCTTCAAAAATGATGGGAGGATGTACGGAGAGGTAACTGTTGAATTATTTTCCTATGACTGAATTCAAAGCATCAATTATTTGACGGTTTTGTTGTTGCGTAATCAGAGTTAATTATATTCATATTTCACTACTTTCGAGATCAATCTCAGATGACTGACGGCAATTTTTCTAATTTTATCAATCCAATTTTGAAAATATTCGAAATATAATATAATAACAATAACAAGAAGTATTTTTGAATGATTATATACGTCTGACACTGTCATTCTTAATGGCCGACATCCAATTTGTGTTATTTCTTTGCGTGATCACATGCATTATAATTTGAATCTAAAGAAATGAACTTTCAACATTCAAGTCAGTCTCGAATATACCTACACAGTAGGCTGAATGGACTAACGCCTATCAGAAAACAACTGTTCCTCTGGCTAATACCACGAAGGGCGTTGGATTATATCAGACAGGCGTCAGTGCAGGAATATCCACAGAAAATTTCCTGCATATGCAATTGGCAATACAACTGAAAGATTCGTCCTTCAATTTTGGAACGGGCACACTTGCAGACCGGTTTCGGGCTCATTAGCCACTCATCAGTGCAAGATAGTGGCCATCATCGACCTAAAGTCAATGATATTCCATAATTGAAAATCGGAATTCTTTCACAGTATTTCATTCCTCTTCCTAAGTTGGAGCGAACAACAAAATGTCGCTCCATCTAGTGGACGAGGCGTCAGTCCATTTAACCTACTGTGTAGGTATATCCGAGACTGGTTTGAACGTTTAAAGTTCATTTCTTTAGATTTGTTTACTGCCAGTTTTCAAGCATAGCCCACTGACTAATAAGAAAATTATATTTCGAAATAAATTGCTTTTTCACTTTCTAAGTCCTCATTTTTTTCTTACAGGAAGACCCATCGAATGAAGGAACTATTTTCATAGAAAATTTTCAAGGACTTTATTCTACGTACCGATCAAAAATGGACCCTGGGTGGTATCTTGGCATAAAGAAGAACGGATCTATGAAAATCGGAACTAAAAATGCTTATGGCAGGAAAAGTGTAAAATTTTTACCACGGAGACTTTGACTTCTCAGTGGTACTTGTTTTTATCTATCTTGTCAGTTTCACCTAGATTTTTTTCAGAAATATAAACGTGAAATCTTTACCTAACATTAAAAAAATATAGTTGAATGCGGAACAACAAAAGATAACTTAATCTCTGAGTATTTTGAATCCAGAAAGAGATTATAACAATAGCCAGATAATGGAGATTGATTTGATAAACAATAATATTATCCATCAGATGGAGATGGCCTTCCACATACACAAAATATAAAATTCAATCAAGTTGGAATCAATTATCAGGTCTATATGTAGATAATACTGCTTTGATTTTGTATAGTTACAGTTGGAGTGAAAGCTGCAGAGAGACAGAGAGTGATCTCCGTCAAGTGTCGTCTACCATTTTCTTTGGAAAAATTTCATGTTCACCACAATTAGGGGAAAAAGGAGCTTAGATGAGTTTTACGTAAACTCTGTTTGCTCTTCTTACTGAAACTATTTTCTGATGATGGTTCAAATAGCTCGTTCAAAATATTTCGGAGAATTTCCAGCAAAATTTAGAACGTTCATGAATGTTCAATTGGTAACATTTATGAACATTGAAATCATCTGAGAATAAAAGTATTCAACATTATGATGAAAACTTGTTTGCCTAATTTTTTTACGATTATTACAGATATCCTTCAGAGATCAATCATTTGTTGGTAGATTATAGATGTTGGCTTCATCTATTTCTTTCATCTATTTCTCAATTTTTTTATGTTAAGGTGAACCGTTTCATAAATTTTATTGTTATATTATCTGCATTTCAAACAGTATTATAGCTTGAATTTTATGCCTATATAGTTCTACAAATTATAGTTTTTGATACTCAGTCGTTTTGTTATTAATAACATTCTCTTCCTCTGAAATAGAAATAGACTAGATAAACTTTTGAAAAAGAAACATCAAAACTATGATTTTGAAAAACAACAACACGGAAGTGTTTTTTTACAATAACACTTATCATAACAGTTCATGACATATCCCATGACTGTTATAATCATAAGAAAGAAAATCCCTAACACATATGATCCCTAGATTTCACAGCCAGAGCTGTGTCACAGTTATTTTTTGGGTCTGCAGGTTTTTATGCAAGACGTTTCATCTACAATTGCTGTATACATCAAAGACGATGAGCAACAGTATGATCCATAACATGACCTATGTTCTGGTTGAAAGTTAATTTCCAGGTTTTTTGGCCGTGATCTGCAGGTTTTGTGCCTGACATTTTGTCTACTACTACGGTAGGTATTATCAAAGGCAATATGGTAAAGGTCGCAGCGCCGGAGTTGTTGTTCCAGTTGTTCAGAACCCAGTAACTACGATGCTGGTTTTCCTGAGAAATTCAATCACCTGAAGAATACCTTCGTACCATTAAGAACAAGTAGCCAAATTTTATTAATGTTCATTGCCTCTTCTTTTCTATTGAAATTCTGTTCGAAAATCTGTTTGAAATCTGTTTTTCCGTTAATCAGCTGTCGCCCTCGTACGAATGACAACTCTCAGAAGTTGAGAATCTTGTGCGAGCTAAGGACTAACGAGGTCTCACCTTTTAACGTGTGATTCCCAACAAGTGATGATTGATATACGTGATTTTGGTAACATAAATTTNGTTCAGAGAGACGAGTACCTACACTTCTTTTCTTGGTTCCAATGTAGACCGACCCGCAGCTATAAGGAATCCGGTATAATCCGAGTGTTGCTAAAGGTTCTCTGAGGTCCTTAGTTGACCTCAGACTTTTTCTGGTACTTTTTTTTGTTGTTTTCACGTCGTGTTTCTCTGAGATTCTCCCAATACGGTCCGCAACATTTTCAACATATGGAAGGAAAGCTTTTCTTCTCGGAAGTGTTCTAGAGGATCCCACAAAATCCCGGAATACTCTGGAATGTGTTGAATGTTTGGGAATAACCTGGAACGTTCTGTGGAGCTTCCAAGACTATTGTGGAATGATCAAAGGACTGAGGTTTCCATTTCAAACTGAAAGGCATGGTTTTGAAGATGATGGTTAGATTTTTCGCCTTCTAGATGTTTCTAGAATAGTCCAGAATATTCTTGAGTACATTAGGAAGGTTCCTGTTTCTATTCGAAGGGCTTGCTTTCGAAGGTATAAGCAAATTTCAAGAACTTTTCATAACTTTTTATTATGGAACATTCCAGAACAGTCTGGAATGGTGTGGTCGGAACGTTTTATTGAATATTACGTCGAAGACACTATGAAACAAACGTTATATGTTCATGTTTTGATTCTCCTACAAATAACAAAACATTTTTAGAGTGATATCAATGATTTTCCTTAATGATTTTCTTGTAGTATGTGTGTTTTGTTATTGAAAAAAAATCTTGCTAGAAATATAACGTTGGAAAATAAAACCCAAATGATATATCAATGTTTATTTTCAAACCACAAACTACAATGACGATAATAAACTACAACTAAGAGTTATAGAAGAATATTTGAATATTGCATTTGATATTACTTTATTTGCGATTGTCTCTCAACAATTTCACATAATACGTATTTTTTCCTTGGAAGGTTATGAGAAGGTATTTTGATTTCAATGTTTTTCTCCAAGAAGAAGCTGGGCGGCTACAAAAGAAAATGATGAGAATTTGAGAAATTGACCCCGATCAGGACGGCTATAGATATGTTTCTGCTACGATTATTGCAAAAGTCTATTGCTGAGAATTAAAGATCCCACAGGACGGTAACATACAGTGCGGTCCATATGTATGGAATAAATTCATTTTTAGCGTTATTATGTACTATGTGAAACAAGTCGATTTTTATTCTTAAATTGATAATTTACAGTATGGAAATATTATCCCTCTACAGCACCCCTTCTGAATTACAAGCACCCCTCGAAAATTTTAAATAGCAAAGGGCGTCGTGTGGCACCTTGTTGGAAAGGGATTTTAGTCCTCTGTTCAGCAATATAAAGTTTTTTAAGTTTGGTGCAATCATAACTGAGAAAATTGATTTTTAGGATGTAAAATTTTGATAATGTCTCTAGGTATCACAAAACTTTACGTAGAATGAAGATAATAATGCCACATAATATTTAGAATGTATTTTTCAATGTACTTTACAATTAAATTAAATGTTCAAAATGACCACCATTAACTTCTTGACAATAACCGAGGCGATTTTGGAATTCTCGTACAACATTTTGTATGACCTCGGGGGTTATTTTGTTAATTTCTTCCGTTATCCTAACTTTTAAATCAGCAATATTGTTTGGTCTATTAAAATATACTTTAGATTTTAAATAACCCCATAAGAAGTAATCGAGAGGAGTCAAATCGGGGGATCTAGCCGGCCATTCGATCGTTCCACGTCTTCCAATCCACCTATTGGGAAAAACCTCGTTTAAATAATTTCTAACTGTACGTGCAAAATGCGGTGGAGCTCCGTCTTGTTGGTAGTAAATAGTTCGATCTATCTCATTTGGATGATTAACATCAGGAAAATGTATTTGTAATGTAGGCACTAAAAAGTTAATCAAAAAATCTAGATAAACCTCACCATTAACAGTGCCCTCAAAAAAATAAGGGCCAATAATTTTATTGTTAATGATACCAGCCCAAACGTTAACTTTTTTAGGATATTGAGTGTGAGTCGCACACATCCAGTGAGGATTTTCTCTGCTCCAATATCTACAGTTCTGTCTGTTAACTGTTCCGTTTAAATGAAACGTCGCTTCATCAGAAAACACTATTTTGTTTATGAACTGCAAATCTGCGTTCATTCTGTCCATCATCAATTCACAGAATTCTTGCCTTCTATCAGGATCATCTTCATTTAACTCCTGAACCAACTGAACTTTGTAAGGGTGGTATTTTTCTTTATGCAAAACTCTCAAAATAGATGATTTACTTACATCATTGTCGGCGGCAAGTTCTCGAGTTGTCTTATGCGGATTTTCCTCAATCTCTAGAAGTACATCTAACTTTTTTTCATCAGTAAATTGAACATTTCTACCTGGTTTTCCAATATTTTTTACATGTCCAGTTTCACGAAACTTTTTTTCAATTTTGCTAACTGTAGACTGCGACACGTGTTGACCAGGGTATTTATTATTAAAAATTTCACAAACCTCCTTTTGAGTTCTTGTTTTATTACCACAACCAATCATAATTAAAATGTCTATTCTTTGAGTCTCGGACAAATGAGCCATAATTAAATTTAATACGCCCACAAATATTATACTGACGTCTTTTAGTAACTTTAAATACCTAAATGACAGCAGCCTACTAGATTCATATCAATTGTTTATTTGGCTTTTTGTCTAATATTTTAGTATCTTCAAAGATTTTTTCCAGGATTCAAGGTTAGTAAGGAGCGTGTTACAGGGATGGTCTGTTTAATAGATCAGGTTATTGTCAAGAAGTGAATAATGGTGGTCATTTTGAACATTTAATTTAATTGTAAAAATTAATTTTCTCAGTTATGATTGTACCAAACTTAAAAAACTTTATATTGCTGAACAGAGGACTAAAATCCCTTTCCAACAAGGTGCCACACGACCCCCTTTGCTATTTGAAATTTTCGAGGGGGTGCTTATAATTCAGAAGGGGTGCTGGAGGGGGATAATATTTTCATACTATAAATCGTCAATTTAAGAATGAAAATCGACCTGTTTCAGATTTTTTTCACATAGTACAGAATAACGCTAAAAATGAATTTATTCCATACATATGGACCGCACTGTATACAATTAAGCCAATATTTATAGTATTTCATAAGTCCGGTACGTGACTGATTACAAAACGAGTTGTTTTACGAGGCGATGATAAAATATTTCATTCTGAGGCCACAAGTTTGAATTACACTTTTATCTAAACTACGAGTCACTACCACTACGTAAATACGAGGGTGGTTTGAAAAGTTTCCTACCTCATTATCTCGTTATCTTCATGTTGAATATGAAAACAGCACGCTTTACTCATCAGATCTAGCCCCAAGCGACATCTATATGTTCTTGGAGGCAATCCCCTTCGTGAACAATTATTTTGCGGCTTTTTTTTGGGAGCATCGCTGGGAGAAGAGTGTATAGTTAAAAGAAGACTATGTTGAAAAATAAAAAAAAACTGAAAAAACGTCTTGCATCTTCGTTGGGCCGGAAACTCATTAGACCACCCTCGTACATGATTGATGGCATAAGTATTGTTCAACTCCGTTAGTGAGTGAGTCTAATGTTTCTGTCGAAGTTTCAATAAGAAAATACTTTATTGGGTTCACAGCCTTTATACTGCAACGTAACTTTTGAATTTTGCTCACAATGTCGAGACTTGAAGAACTTTGGCCTATAATTTGGCCACGCAATAGTTAACAAGTTAGGACACAGCATATTTGATTTTGTTGTACAAAGTAGCTAACAGAAAATTCCATAAAATACCAACTGGATCAAAATGCATGGAATTTTTCCTCGCCCATTTCCGAATTGATTTTCATGGCAGACCGGAAATGGGGAATTGCATTTCGATCCAGTTGTATCTTGATTTCTTGAAAGTATCAGAAAAACTAACTTTCTAAGCCTAGTAGAAAATTTTTCAGCATTCATATCCATCCAACTTTTAACCTATTTACTACCTTTGCTTACTTATACATTCTATACTACAGTCACTGTCTTCGTTGTCTTCTTCTATAATATCTGCCAACCGTCTGTCTTCTATCACCACCACTACATCTTTTCTAAAAAAGTTTTGTTCTAAATACGACTGGCGTGTACTAAAATTCGACCTCATTGTTCTCATGCTGTCGAGTAGGATAAATGCCAACAATGAAATCCCTACAGCATTTGTTCAAGGTTAAAAACGTGTTTGGATTATGTTTAGAGGTGTGCAGCATGAGAACACTGTTACTGGCTATTTTAAGAAGGATGAAAGTACGAAAAATTCAAGTTTCTAGATTATATAAGTGCAACATGTCTAATTTGTCTGTAATCAACAAATAAATTGATTGTGAGCTAAAGCCCAATTTTTTTTCACCTAATTTATAACAAAAATACGAATCGAGTGACACCTTGGTCGTAATTTTTGGACAGGGCTGAAAAATGTTAAAAAAAAAGTACATGTGAACTAGACTATAAACAAAAAATAACTCAACAAACCTTAACGGGTTGTTGCAATTGCCATATGGCAGATAAAAAAGCAATTTTTCTAGAAATATCGATATTAATGTGCCTGTCTTCAGGAAATTATTAAATGTTCTGCCATTTTGTAGTAGGTGAAGATATTGACTTAATATTCTAGGATTGTGAAGTATTCGTCAGTAGCTTCTGAATGATGTGTCACAAGACCCCCTCTCCATTAAATTTTTTTTCCAGATGGCGCCCAGTCGCCATCTTGTCGCCAAGTTTCATCTGTCAATTTTACTTCACACATGAGATCCGATGCCGTCCAATGCATCCCAAAAAAAACTGTTTGGTTAGTTGCAAGAATAAGAAACTGGAAGGAAGGAAGGGAACTTGGTGAGGTTAGAAATCAAATCGAAGCCGAGGTATACAAACATAAATATCCGAGAAAGTCCAGCAAATGCAAGCCGCTTTCACTTGACGAACTGCATTATCAATCTAAATGCTTTCATCCTTCATAAAAATAGCCTTGATACATTTATTTGTGTATCAACTACTCTAATTACCATCTTACCCATTGTTCATGCAAACCAGGGTTCTAAATCATCTGAATGGTGTCGACTGCATGCATATAATCTTTCAATGAAACATTATCATTTGAATAAATACATGAAACTGTGAGACACGATACTTCAATTGGAAGAATCAAGTGATATGAGTATGAGAGATAATTTGAGCAAAAACTGTCTGATTATTTTTCAGTAGTTAAAGTAACACTTGATTATTTGGTTCACAGTGATTCAGGGCACTCTCATCCACCTTCAATGCTATCAAAACTACGTTCCAATGTTGAATTATTTGATTCTACTAAAAAAACTATGGAATACTTTCAGAAAAAGGTAACAATTTTGGAATTACTCACATTAAATTGCTTTATTTGAGCTGATGTTGGGTCCCACAATGAGCCCAAGAAAATGTTAAAGTTTAGGATGCGTAGAAATAGTATGTTGTTTCAAAAGTTTCTCCATTTTAATGTCATGTGTTTTTGTAGATCTATACATCAGTAGATGAACAATGTATGTTCTGGCTCACTTCAAGGCCGTGCGTCGTTGGTAGTGAGTGGAAGAGAGAAAAGTGTGACGTAATCGATGCAGAGAGGAATGGAATGAGTATCGGATAGATTCAAAGAGCTGTCAATTTTTCCCAAACTGTGATTTCCTGCCTATTTTCAGCTCATTACTATAAGATGTCGTTGAACGATTTCCAAAAGGCGAAAACCCACCAAAAAAAAAGGTATTAGTTTTTGGGAAACATTTTTTTGACTTTCTACTTCTCCTTTTTCGTCAAAAAATTGTGGAGGACTTACAAACGAATGGAGAAAGCAATCACAATCAATTTTATACTTGTGGTACACTCGTCTCAAACACATGTTAACACTTTCCGTTGTTTAGTGTGTTTAGTGCATATCAGATTTGCTTTGATGATCGGAAAAACGCTGAAATAGATATTTCGTCTTCAATTCGATCAAGAAGTTGTCAATGTCCGCGTTTCACTTGATTCACACCTCAACGTTCACTCCTTACCTGGCTAACTCCTCCAATGTTGGAGTCCTGGACGTTTGGAAAATGAACTCCAGGGTCTCTGCTACCTTGGGTGCTCTCTCGAGCTCAAGTTGTAGATGAGCTGGAGTTGGTGGACCGGGCAACTCATATCCCGCTGTCATTTCGAAGAGCAGGTAGCCGAAAGATATAGTTTCTGGAGCAGAAGGGATTTTTGGCTGCAGACTCAGCAGGTGATTTTCTAGTCCTGCTAATCTTGCAACGCCATTTTGAATTATTACATTACCTGTCAAAACATAATAACAATAAATGACGTGAATGTTCATGGGGAGATGAAAATTTTCTTCTCAAAACCAAAATAGTAAAATGCCCATTGAAATATGACCCCCAGTCAAAGCATAAATGTATTGATAATACCACACATAACTTCAGGAACAGCTTGTATTGTGGAACGGTCTTTTCGATAACCAAACTGCTTCAACGAAAAATATTTTATAAAAAATTGAACACAATTTTCTTGTATCTCTAAGCATCTCTCATTCCACCCATGAGCCGTGGAATAGATTGCTATTGTCTAACGTATCTTTTACGATTCCAAGAATTTCTATAAAAATCTAAGGGTGCCATATCAGGTGATCTAGCGGGCCAATCTAAGAGACCACGTCTGCCTATCCACCGGTTTGGATAAGTAGCCATCCAATCATTTTTAAACCAGCCTATCGTACTGAAGAAGTATCTCATTACTGCTAAAATGTACTATCAGTTGAAAACCCATTTGAGTTTGTCAATTATCCAAACTGGTGAACGGGCAAACGTGCTGTTTCAGAGTGGCCCGCTGTGTCACCCGATATGACATTCCTAGATGTTTTTGAGGGGAAACGTGATATCTGAATTGCATGAGATACAACCAGAGTGTGTCTCAGAAATCGTTCTGAAAGTGGTATTCCAAATGTATATGGAAGAATCGCAGTGAAAAAAGTTTCGAAACCAACTTACCTGCGTGTAGGTGATAAAAGGGTGGAAAATACCGGTTTCTCAAGAAAAGTAATCCTTCCAAAATCTGGCGACCTAGGCACTGAACCTGCCAAAAAATAAATGGATTAGAATGAATTATTGTGTTGTTTTGAAAGTTTTGCATGTTTTTATAAGTCTATTTCAAACTGTAATGATTCAGTTAATACTCATTCAATTTGTTTGAAATGTGCACCATTCGAACACAAGACGATTGATTCCGTTAGCATGAAAACTGTTTGCTCGGGATTCGATGGAGTCGACGAAGGCCGTTTCTGTCTGGTTCTGGTTGGCGAAGAGATTATTTTTCAGTAGTTAAAGTAACACTCGATTTTTTGGTTCACAGTGATTCAGGGCACATTCATCCACCTTCACTGCTATCAAAACTACGTTCCAATGTTGAATTATTTGATTCTACTGAAAAACACTGTGGAATATCTTCAAAAAAAGGTAACAATTTTGGAATTACTCACATTAAATTGCTTAATTTGAGCTGATATTGGCTCCCACATTGTGCCCAAGAAAATGTTGAAGTTTAGGATGCATAGAAATAGTATGTTGTTTCGAAAGTTTCTCCATTTCAATGTCATGTGTTTTTGTAGATATATACATTAGTAGATGAACAATGTATGTTCTGGCTCACTTCAAGGCCGTGCGTCGTTGGTAGTGAGTGGAAGAGAGAAACGTGTGACGTAATCGATGCAGAGAGGGATGGAATGAGTATCTGAGAGATTCAAAGAGCTTTACATTTTTTCCAAACTTTGACTTCCCGCCTATTTTCAGCTCATTACTATAAGATGTCGTTGAACGATTTCTAAAAGGCCAAAACCCACCAAAAAAAAGGTATTAGTTTTTGGGAAACATTTTTTTGACTTTCTACTTCTCCTTTTTCGACAAAAAATTGTGGAGGACTTACAAACGAATGGAGAAAGCAATCACTTTCGAAATAAACTCTTCAAAAAGACCTTCACGTCATCCATCAAAGTTACTTTCAGATAAAAACTGCAAGAAAAAACATTCCCTTTTGCCTTATTCCATTACTTTGGCAATTCTTTGATTTTTTGCATGGAGATGTAGAAGTGGAAAGCAATAAAGTTTTTCACCAATAATGATGAGGCTTTGGTCTCACCTTTTTCTTAAAAAGAGCCACTTATGACCATAGTTGGTCATCTGCCTTCTTGATGAGAATACTTCAAAGTAAAATTTATACCAGAATATTTGATTGAATTGATTAACTGCAGCTAGAGTTTCTGGTGCGATTAATTTCTTTAGCTTGTGATTTCGAATGCCCTTTCTTTAATAGTCGACAGTTTCACTTCGTCCACTTTTCTGCCAAATTTAATACCATCGACTATAGGCAGCTGTTACAAATACATATGTGTTTTCCAGTTTCATGTATGTATGGAACTAAAAACGAATGAAGTATTTCAATTTCTCTCACCGTCGTAGTGGCGATGGTGGAATTGGGTTTCGAACAGTTTCCAAGAGTTCCATCACATGCGGAGGAGCCGTATTTTGAATAGTGGTGGCGCCCCTCAACTCTCTCAACTCTACTCCTCGGAACAGTTCACATCTGTAACCAAAGCAAATTACTATCAATGTTATACTTGTGGTACACTCGTCTCAAACACATGTTAACAGTTTCCGTTGTTTAGTGTGTTTAGTGCATATCAGATTTGCTTTGATGATCGGAAAAACGCTGAAATAGATATTTCGTCTTCAATTCGATCAAGAAGTTGTCAATGTCCGCGTTTCACTTGATTCACACCTCAACGTTCACTCCTTACCTGGCTAACTCCTCCAATGTTGGAGTCCTGGACGTTTGGAAAATGAACTCCAGGGTCTCTGCTACCTTGGGTGCTCTCTCGAGCTCAAGTTGTAGATGAGCTGGAGTTGGTGGACCGGGCAACTCATATCCCGCTGTCATTTCGAAGAGCAGGTAACCGAAAGATATAGTTTCTGGAGCAGAAGGGATTTTTGGCTGCAGACTCAGCAGGTGATTTTCTAGTCCTGCTAATCTTGCAACGCCATTTTGAATTATTACATTACCTGTCAAAACATAATAACAATAAATGACGTGAATGTTCATGGGGAGATGAAAATTTTCTTCTCAAAACCAAAATAGTAAAATGCCCATTGAAATATGACCCCCAGTCAAAGCATAAATGTATTGATAATACCACACATAACTTCAGGAACAGCTTGTATTGTGGAACGGTCTTTTCGATAACCAAACTGCTTCAACGAAAAATATTTTATAAAAAATTGAACACAATTTTCTTGTATCTCTAAGCATCTCTCATTCCACCCATGAGCCGTGGAATAGATTGCTATTGTCTAACGTATCTTTTACGATTCCAAGAATTTCTATAAAAATCTAAGGGTGCCATATCAGGTGATCTAGCGGGCCAATCTAAGAGACCACGTCTGCCTATCCACCGGTTTGGATAAGTAGCCATCCAATCATTTTTAAACCAGCCTATCGTACTGAAAGACCCTGGCCAATTCTTGGGATTTTCAATATCACGTGCGTAGGGCATGTCAATGTTTACATCCACTCTATCTTGGATTTGAATTTGCTTCAGATGCTCTGGTACATATATTTTTCGGGCCCGTTCGGTCTTGGCACAATCATGTCGTTGGATTTGCAAAGGCCCGATTGGAGATGCCAACATCACTTGCAACCTTGATAGTCTGGAACATCGAAGAAAGGTTGGAGATTTGTCTCTCTTTCATAAATACTTTCACGGGAAGTGTTCAAGTGACTTGGCACTAATTTTCCGGCTAATTCCACGCTGAACAATGAATCACATTCGAGTAGGTCACCTACAGTTCAGTTTCGAGGTATTGCCTCTCATCAGTTCAGGACAGTCCCGAACCAAATAGCAGTGTGCCTGGAACTCGTCTGACTCCAAAGCGGCTCCACTTTATGTAGTCTGAGAGATTTTGATCTATACCTCATTTATGTTGAGTGAAAATTTCAACAAAAAGAAGTATTTCTATAACTATAAAAAATCCATAGAACCATTTTCTCACCGTTCTAATTGACAACCCTTCTCCCCTGCCAACGTATTTCTTATCAAATTCTTTGTGCCAAACCGAACTGTAGATGAGATCCTTGAGACTTCCAGCGGGATTGCACGGACTGATAATGGCTGCTCCACCCTCCCAGAATTCAATATCGAGCACAGGGTGAATGTACGGGTGCTGCAGCCCCCTGAACAACTCTAGTAGGGTGTCTTTTGTAGATTGGGACGGATTTATGAGACAGTTGGATGGTAGTGTTACTAAAGTTAACAGTCTTTCTGCTCCTAATATGTTGTCCTGGACGATGAACCTGAAAACAAGAGAGTAATTCAATCACTCCTATAAAAAAGTGGGGTATAATGCCTGATATACGAAATTCTTTATTCACCATGAAAGTACAATTAAAACAAACAAAAAGAGGAAAAAGATCAGTTATTCCCGCCGGTCGTCTACCGGTGTCACTTCTCATTCAGTAAACAGCACGGAGTAAAGATGAGAACGAAGCCAGTTTCCACTCTCCCTCACACAATAAACCTTCTCCACATCCCGACATAGTTTTCAGCCACAATTATTGTTTATACATCGAGCGTAGATACAGTTTGCGATGCCACCGAAGCAGTGGATTATCGAACAGAGTTTTTGAACTCATTGGATTTGCCAGGAATGTCACTGTATAATTTACAACCGAAGTTTGGATAGCTCCGTAATTTGAATCCACCACGGCTGAGCAACCGCACGCAATTATTCATAAAAAAATTAATAATAAACGTTGTCGAAGCTAGCACTGTAAATGACAAGTTCCGAGGTGAAAATATGTCAATACCACTACAGTGACTATTAAAAATTCCCAAGGACAAACGATGTTCTTNGACTTCTTTTTGGGTATTTTTACCTTCCACAATCTCAACGTTTCGTAGGTCAAAATCTGTCTCCGTCTTCAGAATTGCACTAAAAATTCAAAGATATCTGCAGTTATTCCTTTCTTAATTATTTACTTCACAACTCCTTTGATATCTGTCTGCCTAATAGATGATAAATGGTTATAAAAATTCTGATAGTTTCAACTCACCAATATTTGTCGGCTCGAGAACCAATATCATCAAGCTGCGTTTTTAGTTCATATCTCTCATTGTTCTCCAAATATTGCTTGCAAGTCATGAAAGCCCCATTGCGGATCTGCTTCTCTCCTTTGAATTTTTCACTTCCGCTGTCGGTTTTCAGGGCACTGTATTCGTGCTTTTGTACGCCCGATTGTCTGAAAATAAAGAAGAAACATTTCGTAAGCGGAGAAGGAACAAACAAAATATTCATTGTGATTTCAGTTCGTCTATTCTATCTTAAAATGTTGTCAACTCAATAATTTAATTTAAAAAATATATCAATGAGCAACCGTTACTATAATGTATGTGTAATAAATCTGAAAAACCTTGCTTGTGAACCAAAAGCTGAAGATTGCCTAAATGTAGAAATGCCTAAATGTAGAATCATTTTTCAAATTTCGGATATCTTTAATATTTTCCGAGACATTTGCATAAAACCAAACCCCTCTTCTTTTTTATTGAATTGTTTATAACTTTTGCAATTTTTTCGAGCCCTCTTGAAATTTTTCAAAAAGTTGCTAGAGGTCATTCCCTTGGACAGAAGTTCCAAAAAAAGGATCTCGTAACCCAGACTATAACTGGTCTGACATCTAATTAAATTGATGATTGTGCACGTGAACGAAAAGTTACACGAATACATTCAATATTGAAGCGAAAATTATTAGGGAGATAGACATATCGATTTGTGTGAGACTAGAAATAGAGATCGCAAACTAAAATTAGAAAACCTTCCTCAGTTATATACATTTTTGAGAGGAATCCACCACGATTGAAAATATCGACTATCTCCCACACGTATCAGTTTGAACAAATCGATAGTTGGGACGTGCCAGTATAGTTTTATTTGTTATCCAACTGAATTTAGAGTTCGATGAAATAGGTGGGTGGTTTGTCTGTCCTGCTGGCTACAACCCCAATCTCTACGATATTCTTTCTCGATGATATGAGTAGGATGGAATAGAAATTGTACAGATTTATTTCAAATTTTTTGCTCGGAGCAACCTGAAAACATCGAGTTCAGGGTATTGCGACTCTCTAAGAGAATTTTCGATCGGTACGTCTCAAATATTGCGTGTTCGATGAAATCGATGAAGGTCGTTTTTGTCTGGTTCTGATTGGCCATGATTTTACCGGTGAGGAAGTTATATGTGTATTCTATTCATATATGGTTTTATCTAATATTATTAATAATTTAGCAGCGGCGGATTTCTCCGCATCAAATTTTGAATCTCAAGGCAGGTCCGAAAAAGTGGTTGAGTTTGTGCCGAACGCACGAAGGCCGGTCTTTTGGAAACCTAACTACACCGTGTACCTTTTTGAGATGGGTAAAATACCCGCAATTTACCGGACTATCGAAAAAAAATCCTTTTTCGGACAGCCCCCTTTTTCCGCGACCCTCTTCCGCAACTGACTTTCGCAACTCCTTTTCGCGACTCTCCCAAATTAACTATCGATCGCAAAGGAATCTTTTCGCAACTGACTTTACTGATGCTGCTGCCAGGATCGGCTCCGTACGAGAGATCTCCTCAGCAGTAAATAGCAGGGACACGAAATTTTGTATACGCATTCGTTTAAGATAGGAAGTTGGTAGGCCCACCATGAAATAGATGCCACATCCGGGGTTGGCTTCAATGAAAAAAACATATTACTAGAAAAATAATTAAATCAAGCTTTCACCTTTAAATACCTAGTTCTTGACTCTAAAAAGAAGACAATAAATGGTGTAGCAGGTTGGTATCTTGTTTTAAAAGTTTTTTCATCATTATTTTATTATTCAAATCATTCAATCCAAACATTGGTATAATCGTACTATAATATCAATCCTCATCCATCTGAACAGTGGTTGATTTTGTACCTAACAGATAAATTACTCTTCAAATTATTCGAATCTGATATTTCGTTCAAAAGTTATGACCGATATGTAACGCTGTAGACATCAACTATGTTTCACGATGAAATTGAAACTCTAAATTGCACCCGTGCGGGACCAGAGATAACCGTTAGCATTAGGCAAGTTGAAACACTCAAAGTTGCATAGCTTTCATCATCAGAGTTTGAGCAGCAGTAGGACTATGCTGGAATCAATCGAGTAGATCACCTACAGATCTCGAGGTATTACCTCGCATCAGTGCAGGACATATACGACTCAAACAGCAGTTAGCCTGGATTCGATTAATTTCAAGGTGGCTCGATCGCATGTATGAAACTTTAGTTTGAGAGAAAGATTGATAACTAGTATTTTCTTTGAAGCGATTTTCAAAATTGAATAGTCAAAAAGCTCAACCTACATAATGAAAGAATAATAATTGCAAAATAATACCGCCGATATCCGAAGAAAAGCTTCACGAGCGAGTCAGCTCTCTGAGGCGTCGACTTTCCATCATCGCTCTTGTTTTCTGAGCTCTGACTCCTGTTCCGAAAAGCTGCTCTTCTATTGGCGGCCGTCAGAGTCGCAGCAGGAAACTCGGCAGCGCTGTGAGTCCTTCGAGTGACCCTTTTTTTCCTCTTGGAGCTCCTTCCCGTTCTCGCTTGGTAAAATCTCTCGTGACCTATCACTTCCAATTCCTTATCTTGGTCATCTTTCTTGTTTAGAGACTGGTAGAGGTTGAACATGACCAAAGATTTTAGGATGAACGTTTTGGCAACCGGGCCTATAATACCATTAATAGTCGAAAAACCTGGAGGACTGAATTGATACAGTATATTCGTTGAAAATATGTATCTGAGCCATACAACGTGATAGCCAACTCTTGCAGCGATATATATTTCCATGTGAAACATACAGTGTGACCCATTTTTAATGGAAACATCCCCCTAAATTTTGAAGTTGTGAATCGATTTTAATATATTTTTTAAAAATGTCAAGTACTAAAAGGTCTACCTTGGGACGGAATTTGAAATGTTTATTGAAGTTTCAGGGCATACTACGATATTTTTTCTTAGCCGAAAATCGGGATTTTTTATTAGCGATTTTTTTATTGAAAAAATCACTACGCCACTGGATTCAGAGTGACAT